GAGAACAAAAAGCCGAGCATGCGAACACCACGCAGACAAAACAAGGTGCTCAATGGTTTTGGCCTCCCCGGCCAGCCCCCGAGGCCGCCAAGACGACGGCCCAGAAGGCCCCAGGAGAGCCCAGGACGGCTCCCTGTGGCCACCAGAGGGGCTTGAGCTTTTTGGGCCAGAGGTTGATAGACCTCCTACCTTGACACGTCGCTTAAGGAATTGGCCGCTTTTGGTTCGCGAGAGGGCGTCGCGGCCATCATCTTTGCGGGTCCAGGTCCGTCGGTTTCGGTCCCAGGCCGTTTTCACGAAGGGGAGGTTTGCTAAAGGGAGGTTTGTCTGATGGGCCTGTTTTCCACCACCACCACCACCATAAGTTGGAGGGGGAGGGGGTCCTCCACCTCCTCCTCGTCCTCCTCCTCCTCGTCCTCCACCTCCTTCCCCCCATCCAACTTATGGTGGTGGTGGTGGAAAACGGGCACACCAATGTCCACCGCCGATTGGAGCATCTCTTGGAAGCTGCTTGTGGGATGTTGGAGTCGATTTGGGCAGGCTTGGCCTCCCGGAGGCCCCCGCGCGGCACGCGCCAGAAAAGCGCCCTGCGCCGCCGGGAGATGCCAGCATCGTGGTGGTTTCTTGGCCGTTGGGGGTCCGACAGTCCTTGAAGCGTTCGCATCTGTACGAGGAGGAGGAGGAGGAGGAGGAGGAGGAGGAGGGAGGAGGCAGGATGGGGAGGAGGCTGAAGGCACAGTGGCGAATGAGGAGGGGTTAGGGACGGGATGGTGTAGAATCATGGGCGATCCTGGTTTACTCGGGTCCTCCTCCTCCTCCTCGTTCTCCTCCTGCTCCTCCTCTTTCTCGTGTGAGGGCACTCCGCTTCGTGCTCGGCGGAACGGAGGCGGATCCTTCTCTTGTGCTGCACACTGCCAGCCCCGTCGCGGTCGCCCCGCGCAGGGCAAGTGCAGCAGTCGACGTGTTTCGCTCCAGAGTGGTCGCGCTGCTCCCCACACCACACCCCAGAGAGTCGGGCCGGACGAAGGGGGGGATTGGGAAAGGGGGGAGGGTACGAAATTTGCTGCATGCAGCTGGTTTCGGCCTCACCGAGGGGCCCATTCCTCGATACATGGCCGCCTCCGGCGGCGGGAGGCGCCGGGAAAATCATCTACGCGAGCTGATTCTCAACCCCCCCTTTGCTATCCCCCCCTTTCGCCCGACCCGAGCTTCCCACACCACACCCTAGAGAGGTGCGCGCCAGGCTGCGGGACGGCCAGACGCGTCGGGAGCGGGGCTGCGGGCGAGGGGGCTGCAACCTGGCCTATCGGAGATTGACAGAGAAACCCCACCCTGCCGAGCCCACTCGCAAAGCGCAAATTGTTCGGTTCCCGGGAGGGCGTTGCGGCCCCCCCTATTGCAGGCCTTCGCCCGCCCGGTCTGCTCCCGACTCGTGGTCGCGAAACGTTGTATCGCCACAAAGGGGTAGTGTGTCATGTGCCCCCAGAGAGATCAGAGCCCGCGTGGGTACGGCGCTTATCTTTGTGCTGCCACGCCAAGGTGGAAAAGCAGGGGAAAGGGGGGGGGGAACAGAAGCGTCGGAACGCAATAAGCGGATAGCAGTAGTTGGTTATGCATGCAAGCGTCGAGCGAACAGTGAATTTTAAAATCGCTAGCCACCCATCGCAAATCTCCGTTCGCGGTGAACGCCACTTTCACATCGCATTGGGGCTCACCCACCAGCGGTTCCAGGAGTTTGCGTGGCAGGGACGTCTTGCTTCCCCTCGGGCAAGCATCGCGTCCCACGGTTTTCTTTATTGCGTTCCTTGCTCGTATGAAAACTGTGCGTGGTGCCAACGTTGGAAAACATGTTGTGGGAAGGTGTTTGGAATAGGCAGTGGCCACCGGTCGGCTTATTCGAGCCTGGCGCCTTGATTTGCAACCACGCGTATTCCTATGCGCTCCTTTCTCCATGCGATCGGTCGACTTGCGGACCGGCACGGCCTGAGGCACAGCCCGAGTCGGATCTCGTACCCTCTGGGCGGTGTTCCGATGCGCATCCCGTCCGTTTGCCTGCCCATCCCACCTGCGCCTCGATCGCCAATTCGGGTTATCCGCCCATATCTGCCTAGTTTGACTTCTGCTATTCCTCCTCCTCCTCCCCGACCTCCTCCTCCTCCTCCTTCTCCTCCTAATTCCCCTGCTCCTCCCCATGTCTGCCGGACGGGTCCACGGAACAAAATCCCCGCCGGCCGGTCTGCAGGGCGAGGGGCGGGGTTGGTGAAGGTGACGTGGTGGGAGGCGTGGGCGGGGGAGGGCGGGTGAACGGAGAGAGGGTGCCGGGGGCAGAGGCAGGGCGGGAGGGTCGCGAGGGACGTGGGCGGAAACAGGAGAAGGGCGGGGGGAAACGGGGGGGGGAAGAGGGGGGCGGAGGGTGGAGGTAGACGGGGGAGGACGGGCGAGGGCGGAAAAGGACAACGACGGGACCGGCAAAAACCAGGAGGAGCATTCGGATCCCCGCGCGCCCGCGCGCACGCCCCCCCGAGCCAACCAGGACGAAGTCGCCAGGGTCTCCGTGGTTGACGTGTTTGAGGCGACGAGGCGGCAACGAGGCGGCAACGAGGCGGCAACGATGCACCGATACACGGGCGGCAACGGGCGGACCACACAGTACCAACCTATCCCTCGTGCTCGCCTGCGTCCTGCCTTCCATCTCTCCCCGCCATTCCCTTTCCGCCTCCCCCCCATCGACCCACGCCCCCCTTTGCCCAATCCTCCCGTCGCCATTCTCATCATCACCATCGTCATCATCATTATCAGCATCGTCATCATCGCCCCACCGTCATCATCGCCACCGCGATCACCAGCACCAACGCGCCCCTTGTTCCACAATATCCGCCTCCTTCACCTCCAGCGGCTGCCGCGCGACTCGGCCATGGAGGTCGCGGCGGAACCATGGGATGCGCCACCGCGAGCATCGACGGGGAAGGTTGCACGGACCTAGCCGGGCACGGTCCCGAGCCCAGCGTGTCACCACCACAACGGCGAGCACGACGCAGTGACGAAGACACCTGGGCGTCGGACGCAACCGCGCACCATGTCGGACGTCGGTTTTCCACAGCGCGGGCAACATGGCGTGGCGACCGTGCCTTCTCTGCAAACCCAGTCAGCGACGACGTCGCGGGAGAATTTTTTTTTTTTGTCGACAGTGTTTCTCCGTGCCTTTCGGCGCCAACAGGTAGATTGACATGGTTGCCGAGTGTTCGAATACAATATCCATCAGAGGACCCTGAGGAGGAAGCCGGGGGTACTGGTACGGAGCACGTGCCACCACAACCTGGCAATGAGTATTTCGTGCCAGTCAAATCGACAACAATGTCACAACTTTGCGTGGCGATTTCCTACCCAGTATCGGTCAGCCGTGCTCCCATTAGAGTATACAAGAGGTTGTTTCGCGCATGAGACATCCCCGCATCAATACACAATCACGTTCGACGTCGGCATGCTCGTATACGATGCAGAAGTCGGTGTCGTTCGCCCGCGCGCATAATTGAGACGCTAAGTTGCTGTTGGGGTTCGTGGATCAGGGTTCATTGCGCACTCATGCCAGACTCGGCGGTACGGCCACTGAAAAACGCGATGGTCGTTTCCGCAATACTTGGCGTCTGCAACCCGCATTGTCCATCTGGTTTGGTCTGGGCCCATGCCCGCCACGGAGATCTAGTTGGCAGTGCGCGCTTTCCTCTCCAGCTGGCAAGGCGGCTGGCGCGTGCTTGCCGCGGCCACCCGAGCCTTCGGCGAGCTCCCGCGTGACTATTGTTAAGTCGGGTTTTCCCTCTACAGGAGGAGTATCCAAAAATAGTCGAACAATAGTCCGGGGACGATGTTTCGATCATTTGGTGACTATTTGGTGGTATTTTTTGAAATATTGTTGTTCTTCGTCCAAAATCCGCCTGTAAGGGGACATGCCCGACCTAAGAGTATTGCGAGGCCTTCCCAGCCTGCACTCAAGGAAAGCGCTGGCGTCTCAAGCACTTGGGTCTCTGCTGCGCGTGTGGTGTTGCGTGATGTGGTCGTCCGGTGGGTGCATCGCCGCAGCTGTCGTGCATTTTTCGGTCGAGCCTGTCCCTCTTCAGGAGGAATATTCAAAAATAAATGTGTCAGGAAATGTTTCTTTTTGAGCATTCGTTTGGCAATGTTCGATTATTTGTTTAACTATTTTATATTTTCCGTATAGAATCTGCTTGTGGGGGGGGGGCATGCCCGACCTGAGTGTATGGGCCCGTGGGTGAGGCCAGGAGCAGAAGTCCATTGTATCGGTGTCCAGGCGGGCCTTCCAGTCGGGCACGGCGCTACGCCACGATTGCCACGTGGGGAGCCCCGACGAGTGCGCATGCAGGACTCGACAGCATTTGCGGGCGGTCGTCTTGGTCGACGTCGCATTCGACATTTGGGCTCGGAATAGATTCCATCCCACCTGGCCGCCGGCATCGCACGCGCGGGAAGGCCAGGGCGGAAAGGCGGGCGTGGGGAGCGGCGGGCGCATAATCTGCCGGAGATTCTGAACCACAGCATATGACGGCATTGTATTTGGGCTTCTTCATGCCTTACTTCCTCATTGCCCCCCTTCCCTTGGGCCCTCCCCTCCTCTTCCCTCCTCCCCTCTCGTCGTCCCCCTCCACGCTCCCCCGTCCGCCTCCGACCGCCGACGAAAACGGCGGCGACGACGGCCGTCGACGTCATATGGAGACCTCAGGGTATATGGAGGCCCTTGGAGGAACTCAGGCCTTGAAAACGCTCGATCCGAATGCCCCGAAGCTTCGGACCTCAGCCCTCGATCGCCAAACCCCAGCGCCGACGACGCTGCCGGCGACGCCACGGCCCTCCGAGCCGCCAGAGAGGCGGGCGGCAGGCACGACGACGGCGACGGCACCGACGCCGACAGCGACGGCCCGGCGCCAGCGCCGCGGCGGCGGCGACGCCGCCGGCGACGCCGCCCGACGGCCCGACGGGGCCGCCAGGAGGCCGCGGGTGCCTCGCTGCAGGACGCCTCCAGCGGCGCCTGGGCCGAGGCCGGCGCCTGGGGGCGGGTGTTCCAGGCGCCGCGGCAGCCGCCGCTGCCGTCGCCACGCCGTGGACGCCGCCGCCGGCGCCCCCGACCCAGAGGTCCAGCGCAGGGACAGAGATCGAGGCGGAGGTTGTTGTTGGCAACGGTCGGTTTCTGGGGGCCCTCGCCGGGGCCCAGGACTGTCAAGAAACGGCTCGGGATGAAAAATAACGGTCCCGGGGAAAGGGTGGAGATTGCCAGGGACCCCGCATTGAAAGAATCACGGCGTTGGATCTCTGGGGATGTCGCCGTCGCCGCGGTCGTCAGCGGCGCCGCCGTCGCCGTCGTGATCGTCAGAGGCCCTCCAGAGGGCCCTCGGAGGCCTCTGGAGGGCTTCAGGCTTCGCGGGCCCAGTGCTCCAGGAGCCCAGTGGCCGCCGACGTCGTCGTCGTCCAGACCAGCCACATGTGGGGGAGGTTGGTCGGTCGTCGCCGCCGATCGAGGATGCTGGATAGAGGAGGTGTTTCGCAACTTCGGGCACTGGGGCCGTCAGAATTGTGATGTTCCGGCCTACTTTTAGCTTCGAGCGCCAGAAAGAATTTCGAGCACCAGAAAAAAGGGCCGAAACTCGAAGGGCTTTCGCGCGTCGGGCCCTGGGAGACACTCGTCCGACACTGTTTCGACACTCTTTCGACGCTTTTCCGGGTGCTCGAAATTATTTCTGGGATGTGGTCCTTAAGTACGATGGGAGCAACATAACGTCAGAAATCGTTGCGGGATGAAGAAAACACTTTCTGAGCTGCCGCCGACGCCCTGTCGACGTCGAGGGCCTCGGGAGCGCTCCCGGAAGCCTCTGGAGGACGTCTGTCGTTGTCGCCGCCGTCGTGGGTGGTCGTGTTAGCCTTAGGTCGGGCATGTCTCCCTACAGGCGGATTTTGGACGAACAAAGTAGAAATACCCACACACACACACACAAAAAACAAAACAAAAAAAACATAAATATTCGAAAATGGTAAACAAATCGTCCCCAGATTATTTGTCTGACTATTTTTGAATCTTCCCCCTGTAGACGAAGGCACAGGCCCGATTTAATCCTAGCCGTGGGGGTTGTCGCCGCCATTCCTGCGCGTCGATCGTCGACACTATCGTCGTCTCGGAGGCCTTCGGGCGCTTGGGGGGGGAGGGTTGCTCGCCGCCGCGGCTGGGCGCGTGCCGAGAAGCTGGCCGGGGTGCGCCCTGGGAGGGGGGCCGTAAGTCGGGCCTGTCCCTCTGCAGAAGGAATATTTCGGGGGTGGACAGACCTCCTACCCTGACACGTCAATTAAGGAATTGGCCGTTTTCGGTTCGCGAGAGGGCGTCGCGGCCGTCATTTTTGCGGGTCCAGGTCCGTCGGTTTCGGTCCCAGACCGTTTTCACTAAGGGGAGGTCTACTTCAAGGAGGTTTGCCCACCGCCGAATATTCAAACACAGTTTAGAAAAATAGTCTGGGGACAATCTTCGGGGTATTTCTGAGCATTTTTGTTTGAATATTTTCGGCATTTTTTTTTGATTTCGGAGTCCGGGGACCGACCTGTCCGGGACCGACTGCGCCGACCTTCGCGCGCCAGCTTCGGGGCGAACGACAGGGGGGGACAGGGAAAGGGGGGGTTGCGAGATCTGCTGCCTGCAGCTGGTTTCCGCCCCACCGAGGGGCCCAGTCCTCGATCCATGGGCGCCTCCCGGCGCCGGGAGGCGCCGGGAGAATCAGCTGCGTGGGCCGATTCTCACCCCCCCCCTTTTGTGCTATCCCCCCCTGTCGCCCGACCGAAGAGGAGTCCGGGGACCGACCTGTCGGGGAGCGACCGCGCCGACCTTGGCGCGCAGGCTGCCCTCGCGAGGTCGCGCGCAGGCGCTCCTGCTTCCCGCGCGGCGTGCCGCGCTGGCGGCCCGCGCAGGCGGCCGCGCGGGGTTCCATGCCATAACCGTCGTGCGCGCGGCCCTGCTTCCTTTTCTCATCTCATTATGATTATCATGTTTCTTCCTATTAGTGTCATGAATACTTTCTCCGCGTGTGTCTTAGTTCTCGTCTTCCCCGTAAGTATTATGATTCGTGTTGTTACTATCCTTCTCAATATTGCATTACTATCAGCATTAGTATGGCTATGCTTAGTTTCGTTATTCTTGTTGTTATGATTACGATTCGGATTATTATCATTCATTATCTTATTATTATTTGTGGTGGTCGCGTTATTCCACAATGAGTGCTTGCACTGAAGTTGTCCTCGCGGAGATTGAAGGATTTGGCGAAAGTGCCGGGCCGATTTCGGTAGGCGGCCGGGTTCCCGGGTTCCCGGTTCCGGATTCCCCGGTTTCCGATTGTTGGTTCCGGGCCGATTTCGGTGGTCGGCGGGGTTCCCAGATTTTTGGGTTATTTGGTTCTTGGTCGATTTGCTGATCGATCGGTCCTAACTATCGATATCATTACCCACCTCTCTATCGATATCACTATCGATCTCATTATGGATCGCACGAGCGATCTCACGATCGATCTCATTATCGGTCTCACTGAATTGACATCACTATCGGTACACGACCGTTCTTAGTAACGTCCTCACGATCGGTCTCACTATCGGTCTCACGATCGATTTCGCAATCGATTTCAATATCCAAATCATTAATTGTCAAGCCATCCGCTGATTGTTGTTGTTCTCTGGTGCAATTTACCTAACAGCGAAGACTAATAGGTTTCTAGTGGTGTAAAAAGAGAGCAGCACATTACTCCACAGGGGGGTCTGGGCAGCCGTTGGGGAGCCGTTGGGGGGCCGTTGGGGATTGCCGGGGAACCTCGTTTTTCGCAAACAGTCACACACTTCGTGCTCTTCGACCTCCCAGAACTCCATTCTTCGACCTCCCAGAACTCCATTCCCGGGCCACATTCTGAATGCCCGGAGCCAACTGTAGGCCACTTCGTGGTCTTCGAGTTCCCAGAACTCCATTCCCGGCGTACATTTTGGATGCCCGGAGCCAACTGTAGGCCACTTCGTGGTCTTCGAGTTCCCAGAACTCCATTCCCGGGCCACATTTTGGATGCCCGGAGCCAACTGTAGGCCACTTCGTGGTCTTCGAGTTCCCAGAACTCCATTCCCGGGCCACATTTTGGATGCCCGGAGCCAACTGTAGGCCACTTCGTGCTCTTGGACTTCCCAGAACTCCATTCCTGGGTATGATTTTGAATGCCCGGAGCAAACTGTAGGCCACTTCGTGTTCTTCGAGTTCCCAGAATTCCATTCCCTGGCCACATTTTGAATGCTGAGGCAGGCTGATGCTGAGGCTGAGGCAGGCTGAGGCAGGCTGAGGCTGAGGCCGAAGCTGAAGGCAGACTCAGGCTGAGGCTGATGCAGGCTGAGGCTGAGGCTGAAGCAGGCTGAGGCTGATGCAGGCTGAGGCTGAGGCAGGCTGAGGCTGAGGCAGGCTGAGCAGGCTGAGGCTGAGGCTGAAGCAGGCCGAGGCTGAGGCTGAGGCTGAGGCAGGCTGAGGCTGAGGCTGAGGCAGGCTGATGCTGAGGCTGAGGCTGAGGCTGAGGCTGATGCAGGCTGAGGCTGAGGCAGGCTGAGGCTGAGGCCGAGGCTGAAGGCAGACTGAGGCTGAGGCTGAAGGCTGAGGCTGAGGCTGAGGCTGAGGCAGGCTGAGGCTGAGGCTGAGGCAGGCTGAGGCTGAGGCAGGCTGAGGCTGAGGCTGATGCAGGCTGAGGCAGAGGCAGGCTGAGACTGAAGCCGAGGCTGAAGGCAGATTGAGGCTGAGGCTGAGGCAGAGGCAGGCTGAGGCTGCGGCTGAGGCAGGCTGATGCTGAGGCAGGCTGAGGCTGAGGCTGAGGCTGATGCAGGCCGAGGCTGAGGCAGCCTGAGGCTGAGGCCGAGGCTGAAGGCAGACTGAGGCTGAGGCTGAAGCAGGCTGAGGCTGAGGCTGAGGCAGGCTGAGGCTGAGGCTGAGGCAGGCTGATGCTGAGGCAGGCTGAGGCTGAGGAGGCTGAGGCTGAGGCTGAGGCAGGCTGAGGCTGAGGCCGAGGCTGAAGGCAGACTGAGGCTGAGGCTGAAGCAGGCTGAGGCTGAGGCTGAGGCAGGCTGAGGCTGAGGCTGAGGCAGGCTGAGGCAGGCTGAGGCTGAGGCTGAGGCTGATGCAGGCTGAGGCTGAGGCAGGCTGAGGCCGAGGCTGAAGGCAGACTGAGGCTGAGGCTGAAGCAGGCTGAGGCTGAGGCTGAGGCTGAGGCAGGCTGAGGCTGAGGCAGGCTGAGGCTGAGGCTGAGGCTGATGCAGGCTGAGGCTGAGGCAGGCTGAGGCTGAGGCCGAGGCTGAAGGCAGACTGAGGCTGAGGCTGAAGCAGGCTGAGGCTGAGGCTGAGGCAGGCTGAGGCTGAGGCTGAGGCAGGCTGATGCTGAGGC